TCATTAGCATCCCCTAGGCTAAGGCATCATGAATCAGGCAACTCTAGCCCTAATTTCTGAAATACATATCCTATCCTCTAGCATGCAGCTCTAATATCTCATAAGTATCTCATAATATATACAAGTAATGGTATTTTGGGAAATCACCGTTCGGGCTCTGGCTGATTGTATACATTGCTCCATCTCGTTATCTCTTAAAAGCTCTTACTCGTTTTAGAAAAATCATTTCTTTTTAGAAAATTTTCTCAAATCCTCAGTTTGAGTCCAGACATACCCGATATTACATCTGAATCCCTCAAACCAAGGCTCTGATACCAACTTGTAACACTCCAAATTTTCAACCATTTTTTTCCATTTTTAATTTCAACAAAACAAGGTTTAATATCTCATATACTCAAATTGTCATTGTCTCAAAAACACAAAACATAAAAATGTTCATCACAAATCTTAGAATCCTCAAACATAAATCCATCAGCAGGTGTGTACAGTCAAGCCGGCGCCTTCCCGCGATCCTGAGAGGTACCTGAAACACATTTCACACAACACTATAAGCACGAAGCTTAGTAAGTTCCCCAAAATACCACACACAAATAATTAGCCTCTCACGACTATAACTCGATAAAGACCCTCCAGTCATGTGTCTCATTGAAGACCCTCCGGTCTCACAACTCGGGTTGGACCCTCCAGTTCTGTATCTCAGTGGAGACCCTCCGGTCTCATAACTCGGTAGACCCTCCAGTCCTAACTCAATAAGGCTCAGAATAATATATAGCATAAATCACAAAGACAAGATGCATAATATATCACATAACTCAATATAAGCACATAAGACCCTCCACTCAGATAACTCAGACAAGACCATCCGGTCACACAGTAATTACCACTTAGGTAAGTATAGTGAGAAGACTCACCTCGTAAGTAAGCAAGTAGGTCTCGTACCCCTCGAATGGTTTAGACTTCGCCTACATAACATAATCATCTCTAATTAACACTTTATATCCACACCTCTAAAAAGTTAGGCTAACCCCTTCTCTCACTCTCGGAAAGGGTGAAAGAGTATTTTACCCCTCCATGGTCTCCATAACTCATGTCTTGACCAAACCTTAAACGTCAACGTAAGTCAACACTCGAGTCAACAGTCCATGTTGACCCAACTCGTCGAGTGCATCTATGTGACTCGTCGAGTTCCTTCGTTTTCTCTGAGGTATCGGGAAAAATCCAACTCAACTCGTCGAGTTGTCTCACCAACTCGCCGAGTTATAACGCGTCCAGACTATCGGGTAAAACTCTAGCCAACTCGTCGAGTTGGCTCATAAACTCGTCGAGTCCCTTCAGTCTCGTCTCTCATTCAGACGTTTTTAAGCAGAACTAAGGTCTCATACTCTAGATCTAGCCTTCTAAGGCTGAAGTATCACGTAAATTTGAAAGCTTTACGTCCATGCATGACATCTAGGGCTCAAAATGCCAAAACAAGCTCTATAAAGGGTTCAATGCATGAAAGCTGGCCAATAGCTTAATAAAGCTTGAATCTTTAGGCCCAAGGGACCACATATTGTCCAGATCTGGAGTCTCAACTCCATGGCAAGCTCAAACAACTTAAGGACCCAAGGAAAAGGATGGAAATGGCCATAAACTCCTAGTGAAGAGATCTAACCAAGCAATGATCAAAGTGATAGCTTTTTACCTCCAAAAAGCATCTAGAACTGAAAGAACTCCGGATCCAAGAGCTTCTACTCGTCCCAAGCCCTTTGCTCTTTAATCTCCTTCCAAAAATGCACCAGAACATACAATCTTAGCATTTCTCTCTCTCTCTCTCTCTCTCTCTCTCTCTCTCAGATGAATACAGCTCATTTAGGGTTTCTCCCAGTGTGTCAAGATGATAAGGGAGGCGGAAATGAAGGCTTAAGGTCCTTTAAATAGGGCACAAACCCTGAAAATTAGGGTTTTCAAACTCAGCTCCTACTCGTCGAGTTGGGGTCCTCCAACTCGTCGAGTAGACTCTAAAAATCACGCGGCCATTAAATCCTCTACTCGGCGAGTTGGGGCCTCCAACTCGTCGAGTTGCTCTGACAACATGTATGCAAATTAGTTAAATATTATACCTGGGGGTCAGGATGCTACATGTGAGCTTATCAGATTCAGAAATTGTTCAATAGATTTCTTGGGTTCCAGCATCAATTATTTTGGTGATGAAGGTAATTGGGTTTTGGGGTGTATAATCCTTAATCAATTAAAGCATGGGAAAAAAAATCTAACAATTCTTTGGAGTTTAAGGCTTTATAAAGCTTTTGTTTCTTTATATCTTACAAATAAGTTATTGTTTTGACAGTTGTATAGATAGGTTATTGATAGTTGTATAGATATGAAGTTTATTGATTATCAGTCTGGTTATCAGGTTCTTATGTTTTTGCTAATTATTAGGTTGGTTCCTTCACTTATCCGTGTTCTTTTCTTTTGTTGCACATTATGTGGTTGCAGCTACCAAGCACAACACTAACATTGTTATTGCTGTTATAAGATAACATCATGAAGGTATGTCACACATAATGATGGATGGTAAGTATTAAGAGATGATCTTCTTTACCTGATATATAATGGGTAAAAGTAACTCTATGTAATCTCTGCAGTTTGATCATGAAACTGGTATTTTGAATTAACTATTTTTTGGTGAACACTAATGGGGTCAACAAGAATTTATAAACATTGAATGGGTATCCTTCATCACATCTTTTTTTTTTTCTGGTTAAAATGTCTATTTAAAATTACCATTTATTATTTTTTTGGTTTTCATGTATTTAAACAGAAAGCTACAGTAAGTGCACACACACAAATAAGCTTGATGATTTTTGTAATGCTATTACATCCATTATAGCAATTCACTTTCAAAGAAAAATAAAATACTTTTTTGCTCCTTCTAGATTATCGTTTTAATCATTTATGTCAAAGGGCAAAACTGTCATCTTCTTTTGTATAAATAAGATTGATGATTTTTATTATGTGATTACATCCATTTAGATCAAGTGCAATGTCATCAATCTTTTAAAACATTGTTTATGAATTGTTAATGTGTTCTTTAGTTTCAACACCAATTAAATGAAGAACACCTTTAAGGCGTCTAAAGGTATCATCATCTCTTCCTGTTCCTGATAACATACATATATATATATATATATATATATATATATATATATATATATATATATATATATATATATATATATATATATATATATATATATATATATATATATATATATAAGCTCAAAATTGTTACTAGAGATTTCAAGTGGCTTCCAAATACATGATGAAGAAGGCATTGCTCACATGGGATTTGCTTGTGAGCTTGCTGCTAAGGCTCTTAAGCACGCAAAAACTTTAGTTAGAGTAAGAACTTGAACTTAAACTAATCTTCATTTTTATTTCAAATTATTGGAGTTCTGTAATCTACAGCCATCAATGACAACTAATGAGATTGATAGTGAACCAAATCATTATAGAAAATGTGTGCTCATCAATTAATGAGTGTATGTGTCATGGAATACCTGATTCCCGTTAATTGCAGGTTCCATTCCATAATTCAGGCTTATAGTTATGGGTATCGTCTCTTTTATGCAGGATGGAGATATAATAAATATCGATGTCACAAACTACTTAAATGTAAGATAGCATTTTTTTTTGTTTAAAAAATTGATGAATAGTGTGAAGTTTTTTTTTTAATTTTTTTATTTTATTTAAATAATGTAAGTGTAAAATGACCATTTAGTCTCATCCATAAAGTTTATTTAGGGGATGTGTCTTATTTACTTAATGGGTTTAATGAGCTAAGCACTTAATCTGGAGAGCTATATCTGCTTATCTCTTTTTGACTTATTGGGTTAAGCCAAAAAACCCGGTTTAATGTATTTAGAGTTTAAGATATTAACCATTTAGCTATTTTCCATTCTTCTTTTTTCCTCTCAACTCCTGTCATTAAAATTGATGTTTACTAGAATTGATGAATATTTACTAAAACCTAACCATATATTTTTATAAAAAGTTTTTATTTTTGAAACGTTGATTTATTTTTTATAAAGGAAATGAGAAGCTTGGTAGCATGATTGAAGGCCAAACATTTACTATTGATAATTAAGTGATTGCTTCGCATGAAAAAAAGATTAACAAAAAATTATTAGAATTCATAAAAGTATGTTGTTATTTTGTGCATAACCAATTCTTACACTTGGAACAACAAATTTTGTTAAATGGGAAGATAATTAGACTACCTTAACAAAGGATGGCGGTCCTGCAGCTCAATTTGGGCACACAATTTTGATCACAAAAACTGGTGCAGAAATTGACAAAATGTTGAAGCTTTTTACATAATTTTGCACATAATAACATAAAAACTCAAAGAGAGGTTTCATTATTTGTTTATTTTAGTGCTTTTACATTAATAGTGACTAATTACAAAAGTTATAGCATTGTACTTAGAAAATACATTGTTGTAATTGTTATCTTTTACTTTTGGTTATCCAAATTATAGCAATGTACTTTCAAAGTACAATGCTATAGTTAGGAATCTATCATTTGGCAATGTAGCTTCAAACAAGTCATCCGAAATTTAATGTTTTATACTTAGGTTTGTCACTAAAATGTCAACCCGTTCAAACAATGTGAATGTTATTTCTTAGTTTTTATTGATATACATATATTTGAATTTTGTTATTTAATTTTTATATTAAGTCATTTACTATGTATTATTGTTAATTTAAGTAATCAGCCCCGTGTATTACACGGGTTTTAACCTAGTTATATAATAAAACTCATAAGCTTCTTTCTTTTTGTCGGAATGACTATAAACACTCCATATAAACAATCATCAACAAAGAAATCTAGAAAATTTAGTTTAAAAGCAACATATCATACCTTGTTTGCTAAGCCGATCCTAATTCCATCTTCTAGTTAATTACAAACTAGCCTTAACTCATAAAACGTTTAAAAAACTAGAAATCTGGGATAACATCCTCTTTCTTCTTTGAATTATTACATTGCGATTTGCAGGGCCGGTCCTGAAAAATTAAATATTTTCAAAGGCCCAGGACGATAAAGAAAAAAAAGGCCCTTGTCTTTATTATAATTTTGTTTTTCTAAATAAAAATATATAATGGAAAAAATTGGGCCCTGTGCAGCTGCCCACTTTGCCCCCCCTCTAAGCCCCTCATGGCGATTTGGTGGATAAGCTGTGTCTTCGAGTGCAACAAGAACTCGAACAATTTCAGGCCTCTGATATCTCCGGTCATTCACACAGACTGCAGCTATTGCAACCGCACGGCGCACCGAACGGAGCGGGGCCCGACCTTTTAAAAGCGGGTCCAACAACTCAATAAACTTTGTACGATCCTCCAAGAAAGGCTGAGACTGCATATCAAATTCAAACAAGATATTAAAAAAATTGATCTAATATTCAATTTTTGCATTAGATTTTAGAAAATAATTGCAAAAAGAAATCGCTTTATAATATCCAACAAACAAAATCCTTCCGCCCTTCCTTCAGCGGGTATCTTGCTTTACGTCCCGTGATCAGCTCCAACAGCACCACATAAGAGCCTCTACATCTATATCATCGGTCTTTTGCACTAGCTTCTTTACAGCAACTACCTGTTCATCAAATTCATATATTCATTAATGATTAATAATAAAATAATCCAAGACACAAAACTTCATCATTTAATTTAGAAACGACATAACTAAAGCTACAACTTATATTATTTACTTCTCCTGATTTTAATCTACCCGCATACACAGATCCAAAGACCCCTTTTCCTATCAGATTCTTGAAGTTTTTTGTGGCAATAGCAAGCTCATGGTATGTAAATCTTTTCTCTGTAACAATGTCACTTGTATCTTCTTTTTGAAGAAGAGGAACTGTTAATGCCATAAAGATCATGGAGAAATCAAAAGAAAGAACAATGTATGAAGTTTGATTGGTAATTCATAACTGAACATAACAGATACAATAAAGAAGAGCAATCAAACCTGTAATAAAATCGGATGCCTTATCATTTTCGACATCTTTGGAGAAACGAAAAAAGCAACTCATCTTTACAATTTGATCTTCTACAAGTAACTTTGCCACAGAAATTGAGACTCTTCAGATAGGAGGAATGCGTATCACTTTAATATCTTCAGAGAAGAAGAACAGACAGAGGTAAAAGATGGACTTTCAAATTTCAATACTTCAAAATACTCACAGAATCATACGATTGAAACAAAAATAAATCAGAAACAATCAACAATATTATGGTGCGAATTAAGACCTCTGACAATGAAAAAAGGGTAGCAGAAGACATTGGGAGACAATGAAATTCATATAGAAAGCATATAAGTTCTATGATTAAACATTATGTGTAGAATGAAATAGGTGTAGTGTTTACCTGTATTTAACTAACTGTAGGATGTTTCCATTGATGAAGATGTTATCGCAATTAAGATCCCTATAAATGATCCATGGCGCATGATTGTGTACTCCAAGCCCTTAAAATCTCTCTTCACCAGTTCTTCAAGCCAAATCTTCCTGATCAGATGTCCTAGGATCTAGGATTTGCAGATGGCATCACTCAGATTTTCCCCAAAACCTATCGCAAATATAATCAAAAAATTTCAGCTAAAGAGCAATAACTTAAAACCATATCTTCATGTCCGCTGTTCAAGATATGTGTATGAATAAGTTGATCTAGATCCAATAGCCCAGAAAAGTACACTTGAAAGGGTAAATTTGTCAATTTCACCATGGAATCCAACTCTTAGTATAGTCTATGACCGCACATCTCTCACAGGAATTTCATCCAACTGATCAGAGCTTAAACCTAAGGTGTACTGTGTGTAATTCAAGAAACGTAGTTGAAGCACCAGCTTAACATTCAAGTAATTAGAATTAGAATTCAAGTTACGATGATTCCACCCAATCAACGAATGAAAAGACGAAACTGAGCCTCGATGTTAGAAAAGACAATCAGAATTATATACCTTTTATGAACGTTTTCTGTCTGATTCTTTGGCAACAAGGAGTAGCACCTTAATCATCTACCAGTAGCACCGATGCAACATAAAAAATAAAAAAAAAAATAAAAAAAAATTACATTTATCGGATGAGTTTAAGGGCGTATTTGTTGAGAAAGGTGGTGGCTATCTGGGAAAAATTGTGGCAACAATTCGCAAAATGTGTGGGGATTGCTTCTAATAAATTCAAGCCTACAGCTTTAAGAAATCTCGAAGACCAACATCATTGGACAATCAATCCTTGTTGCCGATTTCAAGGAGTTTACGGTTTGATTGACGATCTTAGTCTTAGACTACCCCCATTGGGGCTTCTTGCGAGCGGGTCGTAGGAAAATAAATATTAAAAAAATGAAAAGTTGACAATCTTTGGATATTCGTGACCACGCCCTCAGCGCACTCTAGTTTGTATATAAAGATTTCCTCGTGTCTAACTTTGTTAAAAGGAATCCTTTAATTTTTATATAAAAAACTAATTTTTGTTAATAAGTAGATTTTATCTTTAATAAAAAATGAAATAAAATATATCAAAATACTTGATTTATTTTTCTCTCCAAAATAAGACCAATATTGATATAGTTTTATAAATATAAAATTTTAATATAAAATAGGTTGGATTGAATTGCTAATGGGGTAAATAATTATATTGGATTGAGTTGTATAGGTAGAAGAGAGAGAAATTAATTATTTATAAAAAAAAAGGGTTAATTTGGGTTGCTAATAGGGATAGTCTTAGCAAAGAAAAAGTAAATAAGGGTTGCTTTATTTCCATTTGTAGGGAAGCTTAGGTGCGTTTGGTTGTGAAAAACTGTTTTCATTTTCTTTGAAAATGTTTTCAGAAAATAGGATTGAGTTTTCATTTTCAATTTTCAATGAAAACGCGTTTGGTTGGAACGGGTGGAGTTTTCATTTTCCATCTTAGAAAATTGGAAAACTTTCGAAAACTGTAAAAATCACTTTTTTAATTACATATAATTTGGAAAACTGAAAATTTTCATTTTTTTAGAAAAACTTTGGAAAACTGAACGAACCAAACGCGTTTTCAAAATTTCCGTTTTTCTTGGAAATTTTTCCTAGAAAACTAAAATTTTTTCCACAATCAAACGCACACTTACATCCGCAAATCAGTCGAAACGGGAGGGGTATTAGACTTTTGGTTCGATTTTGGAAAGGAAAGAAGGAAGGGCACCTCGATGTAGGCTTGTACAAAAAAACCGGTTCAGGATCCGAACCGGTCACTGAACCGATAAACCGGTTCACTACGAACCGGTCCACCAGGAACCGAACCGATTCAAGAACCGAACCGATTCAAGAACCGAACCGTTGGTTTGCACCCGTTCGAGATTTTAGATATTGAAACCAGTTTAGAACCGGTTTAATAACCGTGAACCGGTTTAGAACCGGTAGTCAAACCGATCGAACCGGTTTAGAACCGATTGAATTGGTTTAGATAGGATAGGTTCTAGTTTTTCTAAGACGAAACCGGTTTATGGCTGAACCGGTTTTACTATTCAAGAATCGGAACCGAACCGGTTCAGTTTGAAAAAAAAACGGTTTGTTCACCCCTACCTCGATGTGTGTCTACATGCTTTTTAATCTAACTGTATACTTTGTATGAGTATGTACAATGTTTTGAAAATTGGTTCGAACTAATTTTATGTTAATTTCAATGATTTTATGTAAACTTTTAAACTGTATAGAATCGGATGATTTTTTTCAAAAATCGGATTGAACAAGTAATAAAACCGGTTTATTTTACATGGATAGTTGGATTTCACTTACCAATTAAAAAGAATCTATTTCCAATGCAAATTGAACAAATTGATCGATTTAAAAACTTCAACTTATTCAATTGACGAACCAACCTTATTTAAGTAATTAAATAAGTAATTTTATTTTGTATCTTGAAAAATACATGTTTGATTCAAAGATATTTGAACAATATATAATTAGAAAGGAATATGGTTTTCCATTCACCAATAGAGCTTGACGACATGAATTTCAAATTAGAATAATTGTGACGAGGTTTAAACATTAGTCATATAAGACTTTTATGATGAAAATTAATAAATAATAACTAATTAACAACATATCATCTATATTGTTTATGATTATGGTTGTTGAGTCAATCTAATTTTTATGTTTGGTAATAAGATCTCTTACTAAAATATCACTTTACAATCTAACTATTATTAGCTTTTTGATTCTTAGTTTTTGTTTATAAGTATAGATTTGATTTTTGTGAAAAAAATCATAAATGGTCCCTGTGGTTTTTCTAGATCTGAAGTTAGTCTTCGTGTTTTAAAAACATCATAGATAGTCTCTGTGCTTTCAAAACTTTTGACGATTGGTTCTTATTGCTAACCCCGATAAGTTTTGTCCGTTAATTGAAGGACATTTTCGTCACTTCACTACCACATGGACCATTTATGATGTTTTCTCTTATTTAGAAAAAAAATGAAATAATATGCAAAGGGCAGGGCCCATTATGTGTTATTTTGTATGGTATGTGATATTTTGGGGAACTCACTAAACTTTGTGCTTACGGTTTTCAGTTTATGTTTCAGGTACTTCTGGTTCAAAAGTGAAGAGCCTATGATGATTGCAGTGCACGCACCACCGCGTTTTCGCATTTTATGATTTCTCTGATGTTTCATGATGTATTAGATAAATTTTGTTCCATCTTGGTTTTATGATGATGTTTGGATTACAGTTTTATTAATTTAAAAATGAAAATTTATGGTCTTAATATTGGCCTATTTGAAATGGCCTTTAATAAAATCTTTCAAAAAAATTTCAGAGTTTTATTTTATAGAAAAAGGATCTGAAAGTTTAATTCAAAATATTTTTTAGAGTTCAAATACATATAACATACCCAATTAAAAGTTCCCAAAACATTTAGTAGTTTAATACAACATTTCATGCGAGAGTGCTAAAACAGATATAAAAACAAAGGTTTAAGAAGAGATTACAAACCAAAGGTCTTCTAAAAAATCCAAAGCTTATGAGTCTTTTATAGGGGTGAGCAAAACCGGACCAGAAAACCGAAAAAAAAAACCCGACAAAACTGATACCAAAAAACCGAAACCAAATAGAAACCGATGGTTTCGGTTTGAGTTTTTTAGAAACCGAAATATTGTGTTCGGTTTCGGTTTTAGAAAATTTAGAAACCGATAAAACCAAACCCAAACCGATTTATACAAAATAGATTTATTCTGTGAAGATTTTGTAAATATATTTATTAATTACGTGACATCATAACATATAATGTAGTTTGGTTCACTGGTTAATGTGTTTGGCTAGTACACTTGAGGTCGCAAAATCATTCTCGTTGTTGGTTTTATTTTTCCTGTATGTAGCATCCATCCCACATCGACGTTGGGACTAAAACTCAGCCTTAGTTTAACAATTATAAAGGAGAGGTAAGTCAATTTATTTTGAATCTCAATTGAAATCCGTCACACATCTCCTTGGGAGTAAACTCAAACACATAGCTTCCTTTATATAATCAAGTCTTCGGTAGCTTAGCCATCACATAACAATTTCTTAGCTTCTATTTAAATTTAAAACCTAAGGTTTAGGTTCCAATTTTAAAACTGATCAAACCCAAAACCGAATCGGGTAAAACCGAGAAACCGAACATAACAACAATTTCGATCCAGTTTGAGCGTGTGTCCTTCCCCGGTTCAAACTGCGAGGGAATATTAGGCGATTATATTTTAGGATATTATATGTTTGAACCGGGTAAAACTGAGAAACCGAACCTAACAACAGTTTCGATCCAGTTTGAGCGTGTGTCCTTCCCCGACTCAAACTGCGAGGGAATATTAGGCGATTATATTTTAGGATATTATATGTTTCAATGATGTATAACTGTCAAGATTTTCTTGTATTATTTCCTATTATACAGCCACAATATTTGGGGATCCGTTTGTATTTATCCCTATATATATCTCGAGCATTGTTGATCAATACAATGGAGAGAGAGAGAGATTCAGATCCTATAATCGTTGTTATAAAAAACTTCACACATAGGGACCAATATTCAATAAGTATTAACAAAAATACGTAAAGAAATAACGGGAAAAAATATAAAGAATTGTAGCCCTCGAAGTCCCACGTCACCCGGCAGAGGCAGATACACCTTGTTGAATTTTGTAGGACTAGAATTTTTATATAGGGATTAAGACCAAACTTTGAAAATGATATATGCATGCCCTCGATGCTTAGCCTAAAAAGTAGGAAAAACATGACGTTTTTGGTTAATTTTGATAGAAAATTAATGGAATATTTACACTTTAGTACCACTGTAACGCCTAGATCCCTGGTACATATTTAATATTGATTTGATCATTTTCATAAGGCTACTCAACGAGTTGGTAGCCCCAAACTCGTCGAGTAGAGATAGAGAGGGACGCGAGGTTTGAAATCTACTTGACGAGTTGGGAAGCTCCGACTCGACGAGTAGGACTGCCAGAATGAAACCCTAATTTTAAGGGTTTGACCCCCTATTTAAAGAACATAACACCCCCTTGTGGCCTCACTCATCGTCTCCCATTGTCCAGAAAACCCTAATCAGTGAGCTTGAGCTTTATGTGAGTGTGTGAACCATTTTTGAGTGATTTGGTTTGATTTGAAGCTTGTGATAAGAAGAAGAAGCTAGAGGACTCCAAGAGAAGGTTGTAGATCCAGAAGCAACATCACTTTTCCTTCACTTTCTGGTAATCAAGTTTATACCTTGGCCATTTGTTTTCTAGATCTTCTTATGGGGTGGTTAGGGCATTTTGGAGTACATGATTGGAGCCATTCATGAGTGCAAGCATGAGTTGGTGTGTCTACTGCAGATCTAGGTCCTTGAGGGACTCCATTGCATAAAGATGCCAACTTTATGGCCATGGAAGTCCCATGCACCTTATAAGCCACCTTTTTGGACCTTGTGAGCTAAAAACCCCATGTATGCACGTAGATTCGGAAACTTTACGTGATATAAGGACCTTAGGGCTCTAGATCTATGTTTTCGAGGCAATGAACCCAGCTGAAATCGACCGAATAGATTAAGATCTTAGGGTACTCGACGAGTTGTTCGTGCGACTCGACGAGTCGGGTCGCAGTTCCCCAACTCTTTTGTTAATGAGTGAGCTCGTTGAGTCTAGGAGATGACTCAACGAGCTGGACATAGTTTTGGACTTCGGGGTTGAAGAACTCGACGAGTCCAAGGAAGGACTCGACGAGTTGAGTCGGGTTGTCCCGATTCTAAGCCAGACAGAACTCGACGAGTCCGTGAAGGGACTCGACGAGTTGACTCGGTTGATCACGAGTCTGAGTAGTACAGGAACTCGCCGAGTTAGGAGGTAACTCGACGAGTTTAAGTTGACTGGGA